AGAACTAAGAAGTAATGAATCTTTTGCGGGAAAGAAAGAGGCGGATGCCGTCATTTTCAAAGCGATCGGCGCGATGGGACCCGATGTTGTGCTAGAGGTATTGCCTCTGAACCTACCGAAGCCACCGCCTGGTCAAACAGGCAGAGTTTGGATGCTTCCCCTTCTTCGGGATTCCGTGCACAATACTAAATTGGCACATTTCAGGCAAGAGATGGTGCCACTTAGCGAGGTCCTCTTCCAAAAGGTCCTAGAGCACAGCAACCGGGAGAAGACAATGGAGATCAAGGTCTTCGAGACACTTGTTCAGCAAATCTGGTCCACTTTGCCTGGTTATTGCGATCTGCCGGTTGACCTTATGGAAGCATTCGACCAAAGCCTTGCTGAAATGCTAGCAAATTTACTGTACAGCCAAGCAGATCTACGAACAGACGTCTGCAGGGCTTTGCAGAACCTTGTCGATGGCAACAAAGCTATTGTAGAGCTAGATGGCGAAGAAGATCTTGTTGCACAGGCACGAATATCGAAGGCACAAGCTAAGAAGAATTTGGAGCATCTGGCTAGTTTTGCAAGTAACATGCTTGCAGTGTTGTTCAATGTTTACAGTCAGACGCTTCCGCAGTACCGTGGCACTATCCTCAGGACCATAAATGCTTTCTTGAGCATTATTCCTGAGAAAGTGAGTCACTATTCACGTTCAAATGTTTCTTTACTTACGATGTTACAGGAACTTATGGATACCTTTGAACGAGTTGCCACCAACCTTGAAGCAGTCTTACCAGAGTCTGGCCCTCAGACGCAGGCAGACAAGCAAAAGCAGGATAAGAATCAGAGCAAGATGCCTCCAATGAGTCACACTCTTATGGATCTCATTATCACTATTGCGCCATACCTTCCACGCGATAGCTATCCTTCTCTCTTCAGGATGGCTTCTATAATGATCAACAAGAAAGAAGACCCACAGCTGCAGAAGAAGGCTTACAAGCTTATTCCGAGGCTCGGGGAATCAGAGACCGGCAAAGCTGCGTTGCAAGAACGAAATGGCGAGCTCCAGCAACTGCTCCTGCAAAGTACAGAGCAAGCTTCCGGGCCTGCACGTAGAGATCGGCTATTGGCTCTTTCACAAATCTTGGATTACCTTCCTCAGACTGATCTTCACTTCATTCCATCTGTTCTCTCCGAAGTTGTCATTTCAGCCAAAGAAGTGAACGAGAAAGCGCGAGAAGCGGCCTACGAACTGCTCGTTGCAATGGGTGAGAAGATGGCCTTAGGTGGAACGGTGTTACAGAACAAAGTTCCCAATATGCCTGCGGATGCACCTTCTGTGGAGGCATCTCTCGAAGAATTTTTCACCATGGTCTCAGCTGGTCTCGCAGCCTCCACTCCACATATGATTTCCGCTTCCATCACTGCCGTTACTCGTATACTTTTTGAGTTTCATACTAGGGTGTCGAAAGAGACAGTACAGAATCTGCTTGAGATCATGGATATTTTCCTGCAGAATCCAAATCGCGAGATTGTACGAAGTGTGCTGGGCTTCGTGAAAGTAGAGGTCATCTCATTGCCGGAGTCACTGGTCAAGCCCCGCCTCAACACATTGCTCTCGAACCTACTTGTCTGGAGCCACGAACACAAGGCGCACTTCAAGGCAAAGGTCAAGCATATTGTAGAGCGCATGATCCGCAAATTTGGGGTCGAGGAAGTGGAGAGAGCCTGTCCAGCGGAGGATCGCAAACTCATCACCAATATCAGAAAGACGCGCGAACACCGCAAAAAGAAGAAACAACAAGGAAACGAGGATGGAGAGGAGCCGGAAGAGAAGCCAAAAGGCAGATTCGAGAGCGAGTACGATCAAGCTGTGTATGGCAGTGAGAGCGAAAGCGAAGGAGATTCGGAAGACGAGTTTATCAAAAGTCAGAGTAAGCAACGGCAAGGCAAGGCTAAGGGTGGCGAGACATACATTGTCGAAGACGAAGACGAACCACTGGATCTGCTCTCTAAGCGCGCGCTTGGAAACATTTCTTCGACAAAGCCTCTACGCCGAAGAGAAGTGCCCCAGAAGAAGACCAAGGCGCGCACAAATGAGGACGGTAAGCTCATCCTCGGCAACTCCGACTCCGAAGACGACTCTAGCGCTCGGAAGAAGGGAGGCAAGCGTCAAGCCGCTACGGACGACCAAGGCGATGTCCTCATGGATATCGACGATAACTCTATTTCTCTCGAAGCCGGTATCAACGCTTATGTCGATGCTATCCGCGGTCGTGATGCTGCACAGCGTGGACAGAAAGGCAAATTCAAATTCAGCAATAAGAAGAGAAAAGATGAAGATGAGATGGATGTTGATAGCGAGGATGAGAAGGAGGCTAGGAGTGCGAAGTCAGGGAGCGGCATGGGGAGAGGTAGAGGTGGAGCTCAAAACCAGCGGAGGGGTTTGGGCATGCAGAAAGTGAGAGGTGGACAGGGTGGTGGCGCAAATGGGAGAGTTGAGAAGGGGAAGAGTCCGAGAGGGAAGGGGAGCGCTGGGAAGTGGATGAAGTCACGGTAGGGTATAGTGTATGCTGCATTTGATGGTGTAAAAGGGAGTGAAATTTTGAAGCTTTTAAGTAAAAAGATACCATGATCATTTTGTTGTTCCTCTGACGCGATGCTAAACGAACGCTATGTGCCTGGGTAAGGATTCAACCGCGAGCAATTAATTTGCAGAATAAAGCACTTACTCCCGGAGTTTTGCTAATGTTCTATAATTATGTTCCGGATGGTCGCTGACGGTCGGCAGACAAGGTTCATACGAATCGCGCTAGCCGAGTTTGGCTACACTGCGAAGACCCGGGTACACATGTGGACGTGAAATAAAAGCTATGGTCCAGGGTATGATGAATCATCGGGGATCGTTGGGGGTTAGGCATCCATCAGCGACTATTCACATATGGTAACGTATAGACTCCTGCGGCGAGTGGGTAATGCAGCGGTGGCTGTGTAGTTCTGGGATTGGACGTACTACTCCTGGTACGCCTGAAGGGTGTTTAAAGAATGTATGAATAGCCGGCGCACATCCAAACAAAATTGATGGGAGACCTGAATCGACATCCAGTCCTTATCACATACATCCCCATCATGTTTACCTTGTCAAGTCTACCGCTTGCTTTGGCGGTGCTCGCTGCACGCGATGTTGCGGCGCAGGCAACTGTAACTTCTACTCAGAATGTCCAATTACCAACCTCAAAGCCTGTCAGTGCGTACGAGGTACCTGCGAACTTTCCTAGTGTGGGTTTTGAGCACGCGTTTCTCCCCGGTTACGATAACGAGTTCTCTGATAATATGATCGCCGAATTGGGCGCAAGGCTAGGTGAGAAGCCTTTGATTCGCATTGGAGGAACGAGTGGGTATGTGTTTTAAATACTGAAGAGAAAAGTTGAAGTTGATTTGAGAAAGAGGATAAGGCTAATAGCAACCAGTGACATCTTTAAGTACAATCCCAAACAGACAGAGCCGGCAGACTGCCTCGCCAACGACGACGTCAACAATTGCACATCCGCCGACCACTTCATTTTAGGCCCACACTGGTTCGATGCCCTTCGAAACCGCTTCAAAGATGCGCAATTCTCCATCCAAGCTCCCCTTGACGCGAAAAAAGATTCCCACGCTGCAATCAACAAAACAAACGTCCTCGCCTTCATGCGCGAAGTCTACAAAGTTCTCGACGCCTCACGCATCGACGCCATTGCCCTCGGCAACGAGATCAACTTCTTCGAAATAGACGCTGCAGACGCAGTTCAGGATTCTCTCCAAGCCGCCGGCTACCTAACGGCCTCCGACATCCCCATTGGCGAGGGAAAGATATGGGAGATTCTCGACACAGCATCTGAAGGCACACAGGGCTCGATTCCGGCACCATACACTCCCAAAGGTGTCTTCAACGCGGGCATAAATGAAGATGGGAGAGTCAAGTATCTGGCCGAGCACTACTATCAATTCAATGGCAAGGATGGCACCGTGCAAGACCATCTGCTTAATCACGCTGAGCTCGTGGAACAATTCGCTAAGTATCAGCCTCACATTAATTACACTCGCGGCGTGGAAAAAGTCGGATATATTTTCAGCGAGACGGGCGGACCGCTGGGCGTATCAAAAGAGGAATTCGCGCTGTTCGCGAACACGCTGTGGGCAGTCAACTTCATGCTGTACTCGATGAGCCATGGCGTGCAGAGGGTGTCGCTGGTCCAACGCCCGGTTGCGAAGCGCTCGCTTTGGATCCCGAGCGCTGGATTGTCGACGCCGGGGCCGAGGGTGCAAGCCCCGTGGTATGCGATGCCTTTTGTTGCTGACTTTCTGGGGAAGAGCGTAAGCGGACCGAGGGGCGTGGCGCACCTGCCGCTCGATACGAATTTCATCACTGCGTACGCTATGTATGAAGGTGACCAGATTTCGAAGGTGGCGCTGGTCAATCTGCGTAACTTTGCAGGCCAGGAGTCTCGAAAAGCCGTTAAGGTGCGTTTACAGGGCCTGGGCGGCGTGGAAGAGGTGAGGATTGGGAGGCTGCATGCGCCCGAGGGCACTGCAGCTGGTGGCATGGATGTAAATAAGAAGGAGATCAAGTGGCAGGACCAAGAGTGGCGGTTCGACGTTGGTATGGGTAAAGTGTCCGGAGAGATGATGCAGAAGACGTTGAAGGTGACAGGCGGTGTAGTTGAGGTTGTAATCCCTGATAGCGAGGCTATCATTGTGTATTTCAAACAGGCGTAATGCACCTGCGTATGATTAAGCAGCATTTTTGCTCAAGCTCTGTGATTATTATCATGGATCGCGTCGACTCACTTGCTGCTCCTCATTGCCAAGTGATAATGGCTGTCTTTTACGTGATGCTGAACGATGGGGCGAGTTTGCCGTGCAAACAGCCAGACCAAACGATCAATGTTCTCTGCATTATCAATCAGTTGTTTTGATTTCTGCGTGGTCCAAGTATTAATATTATTCTTTCGGAAAGAATCATTACCAACAATATCGTGGTGGTAGCTCAGTGGTAGAGCAGCGGGCTGCAGTCCTGAAGGTCGCCAGTTCAATTCTGGTCCACCACTTATGCTCGATCCTGGTATTCGCAACATTCAGCTTCTTTTTACCTCTGTCATCTATTTTGTTCCTTTCTCCCTCGCGCACTTGTTGCCTTCTAGTAGAAACGAGGGCGTAGGTTTCAGTGAGCAGATACTCTTTTCTTTCAGTGAGGTGAAGTGACTAATTCTTTACATGTAAAACTATACTTTATTCATAGTCTCTGCCATATTCTGAGGGAAAGGCCTTCGTGCGTCGTTGCATGCGCCCATCAAATCTAATGCTGCCTTCTCTTCCGGGTGACCATAAATGTAAACCCACGCCATCAGCTAGACCATCTTTGTGGCCTCAATCTTGAGAGTTACCAAAGCTGTATATGGTTAGCAAAGGTAACATCAACGCTGTGGACGAAGTTTACGTTGCTTCCCATAGAGTCTCTGTCTGTTTTGAAACAGTGGTCCTCTGTTCCTACAAATGCACACCCCCCTCATTCCTTCTTTTAAAACCCCCTATACCAATGGTTATAAGTACAGCTCCTAAGGTCGTCCCTTTGAAAATTGTCTCATACTGTTCCCATTTGATGCTCTGGCTATAAGGCTGACGCGAAACACGGAAAAACAGGGCACCAGTGACGAGAGCATAGGTTCCAATGAGAGCCAAATATCTATGGCGAGTTAGGAATGATTCAGATGAGGTAGGCATGATACAAAGCGTGGTGAAAGAGACTATTTGATGGAGGGTACTTGAATCGCCATCATACGTCAAAGTGGTGGTCTGTGCGGCTAGATCTCGGTTATCTCACGACCTCGACCTCTCCTTCAACTTACCTTCTATGTAACACTAGATTAGTATGGAGCAAAGACGGTCCAGACGAGGTCAGTCTTCCCAAAACACTCAGGCCGAATTCCTATGCCAATTGACAAAGGCTGCCTTGCGTGCCGCCAGCAACACCGAAAGTGTGATGAGCTACAGCCACGCTGTGGAAGATGCATTCGCCGCGGCGTCGAGTGTAATTATCAGCGCAAATTACGATGGGCAATTCGTGACCGTCTCCCCCGTAAGCGGGTATTGACTGTTCCAAATGGTGCTCACGACAGGCCAAGACCGAGTCACCTTGAATCGCCCTCCACCATCTGGACTACCCCTGACCGTGTCCAACAAATCGAAGAGCAACATGTATCACAATATACTACGTTAGATAATGATGCACATCTATCAACTGCCAAATGTTCAGATTTCCACCACCCTTTGCCTGGCCGGCATAGTCTCGTACAGTCTTCCCCCCAGGACCACGAAGCATCCGAAGATGACGATCTTCCCATTGTTGAGTCTCGAGCACCAAGCCCCAGATTTCGGACGTTCAACGATACCGTGCTTCAGGGGTTGTGTGCCTCGCTCACTCGCGCTGTCGGCGATGACATAGCTTATCTTTACTGTACGATAAGGACATTTCAGGGTCTGAGCTCCTACTGATGTTGTTGTAGTTGTCCGCTCTGTGTCTCTCATTCTACCTGCGTATGGTGGCATGCAGAATGGTTACCGACAACTAGCAGTCCTTGCTTTGTCTTCTCCAGTGTTGATGGACACGATACTTTCTATTGCAACAATCTACATGCATCTCCGAGGAAGAGCCCCGATCTCATTAGCAGTTGAAAGACAAGCTCGAGCTCTAGCTACAATACGCAGCAGTCTACCGTCTGTTTCTAGTGCTGTCACCCGTGGTGAGGACGGCGAAGTTTCAACTCTCAAAAGAGATTTACTAGCCACTATTCTGCTTCAAATCACGGTCGAAATTGTTTCCGCAGGAACTGGCATTCAACACCATATCATAGGTGGGCTCCATCTTTTTAAGGAACTCGGTTACGAATCGGGACAACCAACGACTCCCATTGGTACCATTCTCGTACAACGAATGACTATCATTGACGTTTTGAGCTCTATTTTCTGGCATCGTCGGCCCTTCCTACCACTCAATTTCTGGTTTTATAGTGCGGATGATCGGATTACTGGGTTTTGCCCGACTTTTCAAGAAACTACTGGCTGCCCTCACTGGTTAATCATTTACTTAGCAAGAATCTCTTGTTTATCAACAGATATGGCTACTGGTATTCCTTCAGGGACAATTATGTCACAAGCACATGCATTGGAAACAGATCTCGCGATGTCAGCTCGGCAGCATTTGAGTAATGATGTCGAAGTGCAAATACAACAACAACAACAACAACAACAACAACAACAACAACAACAACAACAACAACAACAACAACAGCAACACCTGGAAACAGTGGGGCAGTGCTACTACTGGACTGCAATCCTCCTACTACAATGTCGCGTCTTTAAAGACTCCCGTGACTCTTTACGAGTACGATCGTCATTGCTCATACTGATAGAAATTATGGAGTCCCTACCGCTGGGCTGTGGACCAGACTCCTCTTTATCCATGCCGCTTTATGTTGCCGCGTGTGCAGCTAACGACCCTGGATTACGTGGAAGGATCCGATTGAGAAGCTGTCAACTAACTACTGAGTACCCCTCAAAGACACGAGAAGCTATGACAGCTGCCTTCGACGCTCTTTGGGAAAGCGCATTTGCGAAAGATGTAGTCAGAGAACAGGCTTTGTTCATTTGCTGAACACCTTTAATGTTCATACGATAGTAAAGACCACATGTTCCTAGTCGATCGTGTTTGGGTCAAAGACTGGCTGTGTGCTTGTCAGCCCTCAAGATGTTCTTAGCGAAGTAGCAAGAAATTTCTTTTTACAAGACTTGATCAGCCGTACGGCAACCTCACCGCGATTCGCGATGAGTACTTTGTGTACGCCTGGTTCGGGAAAATAAAGATATATAGTCTGTAGAATAGCCAGGGGGTTCTATGTGGGTGCATATGCTTCACACTGCAGTCCGAAATTAACTTGTTATGGGCATCTCGCCGTTGGGATTACATACTCTTTCGTCGTCGAATAATGTGCGGACTTCGCCGCTTACAAACGCTCACCGACGCGAAGCTCCACTTCTAATATGTACCTTACCGCATATGACAGTTCGTGTCGCTAGTGGAACTTGCCACCGAAACACCAGCAGAGTTTAGAATGCTCCACTTTTATGCCAACCTACGTCGCAATCCACGGCCGAGTCAGTCAATTCCTGCGCGACTTAGATGGCTACGTTAAACATAACAACTCAATGGTTTAATATCTTGACCATCTTCGACCAGTAGGGATTGTCTTCCACTAAAGCACAATCCGCTGGTGCATGCATGACCTCCACTTTGGGAAGTTCGAGTCGCTTACGAGCTCGCCTAAACTCAACCAGAAAAGCACCTGGATGTAAGTGATTAGCGCTCGGGAAGATCGATTATAGTCAACGCAGGTCAAGTTCAGTGATAACTATCTATTCTGTCGTGAAAAGGACATCGCCTGACGCTCTCTTCGAACTTGAATAGTCAATGAATCCCAAGCTGCAACAATATCTCTCTAGCTCCCTTTTCAAGATATTCTTCACAAATCCTACTACTTTACACCATGGAGTCAGCCGTCTTCCATCGTTCGTTAGAAAAGACCTATCCTACCGCAGTTCGGGGCGAAGGTATTTACCTTATCGACCAAAGTGGGAAGAGAATATTAGACGGAAGTAGCGGGGCAGCCGTCTCATCTGTTGGCCATGGCCATGCAGATGTTATCGAAGCCATCATAAGCCAAGCGCGCAAGATGGCTTTCGCGCATACCTCGTTCTTTACGTCCGACCCTGCGGAAGCCCTGGCCCGGACCATCATCGACAAAAGCGATGGCGCCTTCACCCACATCACCTTCTTGAGTTCGGGCTCTGAGGCTGTTGAGTCTAGCATCAAGATGACTCGACAATATCACATCTATAACGGAGAGCCGGGCCGCGTGAATTTCATCGGCCGCATGTACGCCTATCATGGAAATACACTAGGTGCACTTGCCGCTGGGAACAACCCGCAAAGGAGAGCAGCATTTACAGAGATGCTGGGTCCTAGTTTCCACCATGTCAGCAGGTGTTTCTATGATGCGGATGGCGCCGGTTTGACCGAGCAAGAATATGAGGATCGTCTTATCGTGGAACTGGAAGACAAGGTCAACTCACTTGGTCCGGAGACCGTGGCGGGAGTCATCGTTGAGCCGGTGGGAGGTGCGACGCTCGGTTCCGTGCCCGCGACTACGACCTATCTCCCTCGCCTCAAGGAGCTGTGTAGTCGTCACGGTATATTGGTAATTTTCGACGAGGTGATGTGCGGTTTGGGACGGGTTGGGTCGTATCATGCGTGGCAGAGTCTAGGTGGAGTCCCGCCAGACTTGCAAACTATCGGGAAGGGCCTTGCAGCTGGTTACCAACCACTTTCCGGGGTTTTGATCAATGAAAACGTATACAAGGTTTTCGAAAAATACTCCAAGGGCGCTAACAAGTTCGTGAGCGGACATACGTACCAAGGCCATGCGATTGGGTGCGCGGCGGCATTAGCTGTTCAACAGGTGATCGAGAGGGACAATCTTGTCGACAATGTTTCACGAAGGGGATCTTTGCTTGCAATGACGCTGGAAGAAGGTCTTCCTGCGACCTTCAGAGAGTGCGGCGGTACTCTGCGGGGAATGGGACTCTTCCGAACGGTGGATTTTGGGAAATTAGGGGAGAAGATAGGTCATGGTGTGCTGATGCAGCGTGTTGCTGATGAATGCTTCGAGCGCGGCGCGGCCGTGTACGTATGCTCCTCGGCTGTGGACGCAATCCTGATTGCGCCGCCATTCACCGTCTCCCAAGATGAAATTATTGAGCTGGCAAACATAGTTATCGCGTCTTTGGACGCAGTTCTTAAACGGAGCGAGAGGTCACAGTTGTAGTTCGGAAGGAGATTGACGTCGGTCATGTCGAGAACGACTTGAAAATGCGATTCACAGATCGATCGTTAGCTCGGTACGTTGGTCGAATAGTAAGATGTTTGTTATATGAAGTGTAGCACGGCTGAAAATCGTTGCATCTTCTTAGCGTCCTCAAGTCTCAATCTTTCGTG